ATCCACAAAAAACATTTTAGTAAAAAATATGTCTAACGCTGGTGTTACATATGAAGAGCTGCAAACAATTCTTATTGAAGTGGAAGCCATCTTGAATTCACGCCCTATAGCACCTATATCGGATGATCCGAATGATGGAGAAGCTTTAACGCCAGGACACATGCTAATTGGTTCCTCGTTACTTTCTTTGCCTGATGAAAATTTAGAAAACCACAAAACCATCAGTTATCTAAAGCATTGGCAAATGGTTACATACTTGAAGCAGCAGTTTTGGTTACAATGGGTACGAGACTACGTCCTCACACTACAACAAAAGGCTAAATGGTTCAAGTCATCTCAAAATATTCAAGTAGGTAGATTAGTAATCGTTCATGAGGATAATATACCCCCACAACAGTGGCTTCTTGCTCGAATCGTAAAAGTAATTCCTGGTCGTGAGGAAAAAATTCGAGTGGTAGACGTCCAAACATCAAAAGGCATTCTTCGAAGATCTATACACAAAATTGCTCCCTTACCAATAGACGAAACTGATTGAAAACTATTTTCAATGGCGGGGAGTATGTTCGGTCACAATCATATTTAATAATTTTATTTAATTAATATTATATATTTCATTTTATAATAATTTCATTTTATGTTTATCAATTCATTCCTTTAAATGTCATTCAATATTATACTTTATTTAAGAATTTGGTACAAAACAGACTAATAATAACTCTTTTAGTTGACACTCTCTTTATTTATCGCTCTATTTTACTTTTTATAATTTTGTAACTGTAAATAGATACTTGCAAAAATCTTTAACTATAACAAGTAACTTCTATGTTTTGTTTGAACATTCTTTCTGTGGCCATTAAAGAGATCAAACCAAAACCGCATCGTCTTTTTATTTTTTGATTAAACAATCATGTTTTGACTTACCTTGTATTTGCCGATAATTGTTGTTCTTTCGCCTTAGGATATGTACTTCCAATGTTTTGATTTATATTCCACACGGCAAGCTTGTTTTTGCACTTCCAATAAATTTTATGGTCTTCAAGTATTTGTATACAATATCAACAGTTTTATAATTGAACACAATATTTCTTTAGATATTTGTAGACGATGTTATTGTTTATCTGCTTCAATTTCCACACGTCAAGCACTTGTTATACCCTACACCACTTTAGTGGGGAGGGTATATTGGGTTTGTGCTGATGTTTGTAACGCACAATAATATTGGTCCTATACCACCTTAAAGTATACCAATCGGCTCAGAATCATTTTAGCTATGTCCGTCCGTCTGCCCGTCCGTCCATGTAAACCTTGTAATCAAACTACAGATCAATTTTGAAGATAATTCAATGAAATTTGGTACATGATCTTCTATTGTCCCAGGGACGAAGAATATTGAAAATGGTTAAGATCGGTCCATTATTTCACCTAGCCCCCATACAACTGAACACCCCAATAGGGCTTATAATCCTTGTAATCAATTATTATTATCAATTATTATCAATTATTTCACCCCGCCCCCATACAAATGAACCCCTCGTATAGGGCTTTTAAAACTTGTAATTAAACTACAGGTCGCAATTTTGGAGATAATTCCAAATGAAGCCTGTTGAAAATGCTTTACATCGGTCCATTATTTCACCTAGCCCCCATACAACTGAACCCGCCGAAGCCCTATTCGGCGGGTTCATAAGTTCATAATTATGTTTAATATACTCATATCTCGACAAAAAGCTGCAATAACCAAGTTGTATACAAGACTTGATGACCCCCACGAATTCCATAATAATAGGTTCTCATAGCCCCTATGAAAAGCCCCCATCAAAATTTCACTTAATTGTGCACAATTTTATTCAACAATAAACGGCTTAGGTATGTATATCTAAGGCAAGGTACAATTCAACTTAAATGCTTTATTATGGCAACTAAATCACATTATATTTTTGTCAAAGGTGTAGGGTATTATATGGTCGGCCTAGCCCGACTATAATTTCTTACTTGTTTTTAGATTTATTTAGTTTTGTTCGGTATGTTTGCGCACAATATTTTAATGCCGGGCAGAGTTTCTTGGACCTCCAAAAAATTTTAGATTGGAAGTCTTTAAGTAGACAATAGAATTAACTTTTTTCTGCTACAATTAACACACGACCAAAATCTATTTGCACACAATTTTTTTTTTAATGCGACGCACTGTTTTTTAAAACTTCCAGGAAATTTTTAGTTTATGGACTTTATGTAATTGTAGGCAATATAATTGTATTTCGACTTTTAACTAATTTTTAACGTTTTTGCACATAATATTTCTATGGACACGCTATATTTCAAATATGCAATCCTTCTATTATTTACCCTTTACACACCGAAAACACAATTAGCAATGACTCCAAAATATGATGCAAAAGCTTTAATTTTTTGTTTATGTATTTGTTTTTCTCCAAAAAATGACATAAAAAAGTAGAACACTCTCTGTCTATAAACAAGTAGAAACAAAAAACTTGTAACAAAAAAATGTTTTTTTTTGTAGATGGCCATTCCACGCCTCCTTTGTAAAATTTCAAATATTTTTGACATAAAAAGAACAATATAATTGATTATGTATATAATGTATAATTAGCAAGTAAAACTCACAAGTAAATACCGAATTTATTATAAAGTTCAAAATAGAAATTTGCAATTTTTTTGGTTTATTCTTTATGTTATGTATAAACTTCATTAACAAATTTTTCCAAATTTTATATAATTTATTAATAAACTTTGAACATATTTGTGATGGTAGTGTTTTTTATTTAATAGGAGTAAAAAATAAATTTTATTTGTACTAGTTAACTTTTTGCAAATTGAAAAACTAATACAGATGAACAGAAAAGAAAATTGAAAAAACAATGAGATTTGTCTACAATAAAGGGGAGAGCAGAGAACAAGAGAAGCAAGCTTATCACTTTTTTTCGGCGGCGGTTGAATGGGTAAAATTGATCGGCGGGGGCGGCTAATCGACTTTACGCCGAGTTTTTACCGGCTCATAAAAAAATTCGGCTTAGCTGTGTTTATTTTATTAAATGTACCAAATTTAGGTAGGTTTCGTGGTAGGTTTAAAATTTGGGGTTTATTGTAATAATAGTTCAATCTCAACTTTCCATGACTGTTATTGCATATTTTTCCAGATCAAAGAGCATTTATCCGAGGGAGAATATTTTATGTGAAATTTGACAGTTAGTGTACTGAAAGTCCATATACAATATTAATCAGCTGTGCATTTTTTATACCCACCATCAAAAATGATGGGGGGTATATTGATTTTGTCATTCCGTTTGTAACACATCGAAATATTGGTCATAGACCCACAAAAGTATATATATTCTGGGTCCTCATTAAATTCTAAGTCGATCTAGCCATGTCTGTCCGTCCGTCTGTCTGTCTGTCTGTCTGTTGAAAGCACGATAGAGTCCCAATGGAAAGAGCTAGAGGGTTGAAATTTTACATAAATATTTCTAACAGGTAAGGTTTGTTTGGTATTGAAAATGGGCAATATCGGTTCACATTTTCTGATAGCCCCCATACAAGTAGGAAATCGAAAAGCGGCTTTAACAGCCATAACTTGTTTAAAAATACAAATATAGCGATAAAATTCGGCATAAGGAAGTTTCTTATGATCCAAAATCATTATGCAAAATTTTCTGAGGATCGGTTCATAATTGACCCTACCCGCCATATAAGGTCCCCTTCAGGAAATGACTTTAACGCTCATTACTGGCTTAAAAATACTAGTATATAGATGAAATTCGACATAAGTAAGTTTCATACGAGTCAAAATCTATCTAAAAAATTTTATGAGGATCGGTCCATGATTGACCCTACCCCCCATATAAGGTCCCCTTTAGAAAATGACTGCAACGCTCATTAATGGCTTAAAAATACGAGTGTAGCGATGAAATTCGACACAAATAAATTTAATACGAACCAAATTCTGTCTACCAAATTATATTAGGATCGACCCATAATTGACCCTACCCCCTATATAAGGTCCCCTTCAGAAAATTACTTTAATGCTTATAACTGGCCTAAAAAATACGAGTATATAGATGAAGTTCGACATAAGTAAGTTTCATTCTAGTCAAACGAGGTTTGATGGTAGGTATATAAGATTCGGCATTGCCGAATATAACACTCTTACTTGTTTTTATTATTTATATAATTTGGAATTACGACATACTAAATATGTACATACATGTACAATGTACATACCAAAGCGTATGAATTAATAGTGATTCTATAGAATATTTGTCTATGGTCATATTTACACCTATAAAATTATGGAAAAATAAGAAAAATGTACAAAAAGAAGTATATTTGCATACTTACTTGCTGATTTTAAAAAGCGTTCTTCCCGAACGAATGTCTGATGTCGCAGATATCTGGGGTCTTCTGAAAACTGATTTCACCATATACATAGACAGACAGACGGTCAGGCGGACCCCGCTATCTGTAGTAATTCAGAATATGTATACTTTATACGGTCGGAAAATTGTATAATAGACATTACCAATGGCATGACAAACTTATATATACCCTTCTCACGAAGGTGAAAGGTATAATTATCTTCAACTAAAATGTAGGAAATTAATTTCTCTGTAGAAATTATAATAACATCTGTACGTGTAAAGGCACTATACGTGAGCGTACACGATATTTATGGTGACTTTTAATCCCTTATTAAAAATTCGATATGCTAAATTTTATTTATCTATCAAAAAAATCCAAAATTCCTGGGGTATTAACTGAAAAACAAGTACAAACATTCAAAATAATGTTAAATAATATTAAATAATACATTAAATAATTAAAATATTATTAAATAATATTAATGTTAAATAAAATTAATTAAAATGTTTTGAGAAATAAAATTTTATTACAAATTTGATATACCATTTTATATTACTAGCTATTCACAAATAAAATTTTGTTTATTTCGGTACAGCTAATATTTTAATATATTTTATATTTCTTAGGTTCAAATGCGGAAAATCAAAAAGATGATAAAATAAATAAAGTACGAGATCAATATGAGCGTAAAATTGGAACTATGAGAAACGAAATGAAGAAACTGCAACAAGCACAACGGGAACATGCGCGGCAACAGTTGGAGATGATATCACAAGAAACAAAACTACGAAATCTGCGTTCACAATTAAATGAGCTCAAAGTTATTAAGGTAGACAAATTATGTGATTTTATATTAATTGAAATACACTCCCGCTCACTTAAATAGGTTCACTATTTTGTTTACATTCAAATTATTTTTTTGCAAAAAATAATGGACTAATTGGTTATATTAAAATTTTAATTAATAGCATAATGTCCTATGCATCACTAGATAGACAAACATTAGTGTAATACTTAATAACCGATTTTTAAAAATTTTTTTCTAAAACACTACGTTTTTGAACAATATTTTTTGGCTCATTTGAATAGTTTCATCATCTTTAATTTACAAAAACAACAACAAAATGCATTTTTCAATAAACTTTTTTATTTTTATAAATATTTTTACAAGGTTTTAGAAAAGATTGAGTAAGAAACATATCCGCCGTTACTTGAGATAACTTCGAAAATTCGAGGTGATAAAGAGTTATTAAGATTCTTAAGTAATGACAAGGGAATTTTGGTCCAAGCCTATACTGTCTACCCGATCTATACACTTTACGAGAAAGAATATCCGAAGCATTTTCAATAATAAATAGGTGAGAAGATTATGGAGGCTTTTCCAAAATTTTTACATTCTGGCATCGAATCCATCCATTTACAGCCCTGGCGGTATGGATCGGGACATTACATTTTTGAAATATCCACGGCAAGGATTCAAAGATATCCGAAAATGTGAAAAAGCTATTTCCAGTATGGCATTACAATTATTACAATTCCTACTTGATGAAAGAAATTGAAGTTCACATGTTTCATAATACGAAATTGGCCCTTCTTACAATACGTTTTATTGCAGCTAGGCAATGTAACACCCACAATTTCTGCTGCAGAATCACTTGACTTGGAGCCAGATTTTATTAAATCTCTTCTGTCTTCTTTTGTTATGACTCCATATGTACGTTTATTAATGTTTTCTTAATATTTAGACTGTTTTCTTATAAAATTGCGAATAACATTCTAAATTTGCCCAATTTTTTTTTTTTGCCAAATTCCTGTGATTTTGGACAGTTTCCAGAAACGCTAAATTTTGCCATTTTATTCTTCAGTCAATGGCTTACCGCGGCCTATTTTTAAAAAAATATATATGTCTATATTCACAGACACCAGAATATGAATCGATTTTTTCACTACCAGCAGTAAACTGATTTTATTCGGAATGAACCTAAACAAGTGAACCAAAAAATATAGGTAAAAAACGTAGTATGTTAGAAAAAAATTACTAAAAATCAGCTATTAGGTATTTCGCTAATTTTTGTCTTACTAGTGATACCAAAGACATCATGTTATTATCTAAAATTATAAAATTACTAATTAGTCCTTTACTTTTTGCAAATAATTAATTTGAATGTGAACAAAACAGTGAACCTATTCAATAACTAAAAGTTTTTAATAGTTAGTACAAATTAGAAACAATTGTTACTGGCGTTCATTACTCAAAAATCTAGCAAGAAGAGCAAAAACCAAGAAAACCTTTTCTCTCGTTGCAAACTATTACAAGTTTTATTTTATGCTAGTAATGACCCATCAAAATTACCCATAAAACGAAGTACTTTCAAAACAATAACATTTATTCCCATTATTAATGTTAATAATGTGTTATTAATGTTGTTATTGTCAGCCAACTAATTTGTGTTTGTTTTAAAATAAAAAATATTGGCGAATTATTTCGATATTAAAATTAAAGTAATCGTATTTATAATATTCCATTGAGTTAATTCTATGAAATATTAGATATTATTTCTTTTCATGTAAAAAATCGAAAAAAATATATGTAATGCACGTCACAAAAAATATTTTTAAATTTTGCATAAAAACCTTCAAGTAATCGATTAATAATGCACTTTTAGAAAATTTTAAACAGGGAGAATGATATCAAAAAGTGCATTTCCGTAAAAAATGCACTATCTTTAACTTTTTAACATACATATTATATTAGAATGAAAGAGCACAGCCATAGTATTATATTGTGTTCTTAATCAACAAAATCCGATATAAACTCTTAAAGATATGAACCTTCAAAGTTTTTTGATTTTTTGTAGTTTTTGAACAAATTAAAATCGCTATAAATCTCGCGTTTTTAGGAATTTTTAAACATTTAATGTAGATATGTCTTATATGTCTGATTTAAGATATCGGAAGACCATCGGTTAATTCTTAATTGATTTCTCATAGAATTCATGATATAAAGAAATTAAGCTAATTAATTTCTGGCTTTAGAGATTAGAACTTATTAGAAATACTTAAGAAAAACAACAATATTATAAACTGGTTGTAGAAGTATATTACATATCATTATTTTCAATCTGAAGCGTGTCTGTATGAACCCATTCTAGAAATAGGCAATTCAGAACGAATTCTTAAAAAGTTTCTGAAGTATTGCTATACACATCATCAAAAGATATTGCATTTTGTATAAAATGTACATACATAAAATTTACTGTTAAATGGTAAGCTTTTATTAATTGTTTAATTAAAACAAGTAAGAGTGCTATATTCGGCTGTGCCGAATCTTATATACCCTTCACCATAGTGTATTTAAAAATTCATTTTCCCGACTATATCATTATTATAGCAATAGCAAAACATAATGAACAACAACAACGCTAAACGATATAAACACACAAAAACAAAATACACAAGGCAGTAAAACCAACAGACATCCAAACATACAAAATTCAATACACCAAGAAAACAAAAACAATATACACAAGGCAATGAAACACACAGCCATTCAAACATACGAAACGAAATACTCAGAAAAACAAAAACAAAATACAAAGGCAATGAATAAGCAGTGTTGTTGTTGTTTATTTTTTATGAAATTTTCAGAGGTTGTCTCGGATTTTTGCTTATATCTCCGTTGTTTATGAACTGTTTTTGCTGATTTTAAATAGGAAACTTCTCGAAAGCATGTCTGATAGAATTATTGAAGATTTGGATCCCGAAGATATCTGGGGTCTTCAGAAAACTGATTTCAACAGACGGACAGACAGACAGACGGACATGGCTTAATCGACTCCGCTATCTATAAGGATTCAGAATATATATACTTTATGGGGTCGGAAAATTATATTTTGGAAATTACAAACGGAATGACAAACTTATATATACCCTTCTCACGAAGGTGAAGGGTATAAAATTAATTCGGTTTATTCGTCATTGGAAATTTGGCAATTTTCGTTTATACGAAGGATTAATCCAAAAAAAAATTATATATTAACCGATCGACGATTAATCGTATAATCGGTCTCCAACAATTTAAATTTATTAATAAACTATTATTTAAAATTTCACGTGAAATAACTAGATTCTATGTTATTTCATACAATTGAAAAAATGTTGATGGAATATTGTTAGAAACATTTCACACATATAGTAGTAGCATATAGGCGAAAGGGATTGTCAAAGACCTAAGTCCCCTGTCAAAAACCTAACTGGTGAGAATGTATTAGTAGAAGCACAAAAATAAACACAGTTGTTCAAAAGGTACTAAATAATAAATGTATTTTTGATACGTTACTTTTTGTGTGTTATTACTGGGATTTCATATACTAGTGAATAAAAATATTAGTAAATTATTTTTTTTCAAAAGATAATTCATCTTAAAACATATTATAAATACGTCACAGACACCAGAATATGAATCGATTTTTTCACTACCAGCAGTAAACTGATTTTATTCGGAATGAACCTAAACAAGTGAACCAAAAAATATAGGTAAAAAACGTAGTATGTTAGAAAAAAATTACTAAAAATCAGCTATTAGGTATTTCGCTAATTTTTGTCTTACTAGTGATACCAAAGACATCATGTTATTATCTAAAATTATAAAATTACTAATTAGTCCTTTACTTTTTGCAAATAATTAATTTGAATGTGAACAAAACAGTGAACCTATTTAAGTGAGCGGGAGTGTATATTCAATAACTAAAAGTTTTTAATAGTTAGTACAAATTAGAAACAATTGTTACTGGCGTTCATTACTCAAAAATCTAGCAAGAAGAGCAAAAACCAAGAAAACCTTTTCTCTCGTTGCAAACTATTACAAGTTTTATTTTATGCTAGTAATGACCCATCAAAATTACCCATAAAACGAAGTACTTTCAAAACAATAACATTTATTCCCATTATTAATGTTAACATTGTGTTATTAATGTTGTTATTGTCAGCCAACTAATTTGTGTTTGTTTTAAAATAAAAAATATTGGCGAATTATTTCGATATTAAGTAAAATTAAAGTAATCGTATTTATAATATTCCATTGAGTTAATTCTATGAAATATTAGATATTATTTCTTTTCATGTAAAAAATCGAAAAAAAAATATATGTAATGCACGTCACAAAAAATATTTTTAAATTTTGCATAAAAAGCTTCAAGTAATCGATTAATAATGCACTTTTAGAAAATTTTAAACAGGGAGAATGATATCAAAAAGTGCATTTCCGTAAAAAATGCACTATCTTTAACTTTTTAACATACAAATTATATTAGAATGAAAGAGCACAGCCATACCCAGGAAAAACTTACATTGAAAAGTAATGAGTTAAATAGCTAATAAAACCTCTTTTCAGTACTTCTTCATTAGCATTTTAAGTCATTATTTTAACACGGTGATGTCATTGGAGGCAAGTACTTCTACGCACGCTTACAAATAGGGACTTAAAGAAGTACTTGCAATTTCCCTTACAAAACAGTTGTTGAGTAAGTTGTTTTGTTTTTTAATAATAAAAAGAGCCAGCTAGAATACGAACCAGGGGCTTCGGTTTGTTAGTCAAATGTTCTACGCACTGCACCACTGCTTAGCTATTTTATTGCGCGTCAAATAATGGTTTTCACAAACAAAACTAATTTTGTTTTATTTTTTGAAAACACAATTCTTAAAACGCAATTAAATAAAATGTGCAAACAAAATGACAAAGCCGAAAATAAAGTACTTCTATATCAGATTATAAGAAAGCCATTACTAGAGTACTTCTATGTAATGCAGACGGTAAGTAGTAGTCATTGAAAAGTAAGAGGTTATGGAAGTACAACCCATTACCGAGTTTTTGCTGGGTAGTATTACATTGTGTTCTTAATCAACAAAATCCGATATAAACTCTTAAAGATATGAACCTTCAAAGTTTTTTGATTTTTTGTAGTTTTTGAACAAATTAAAATCGCTATAAATCTCGCGTTTTTTGGAATTTTTAAACATTTAATGTAGATATGTCTTATATGTCTGATTTAAGATATCGGAAGACCATCGGTCAATTCTTAATTGATTTCTCATAGAATTCATGATATAAAGAAATTAAGCTAATTAATTTCTGGCTTTAGAGATTAGAACTTATTAGAAATACTTAAGAAAAACAACAATATTATAAACTGGTTGTAGAAGTAAATTACATATTATTTTCAATCTGAAGCGTTTCTGTATAAACCCATTCTAGAAATAGGCAATTCAGAACAAATTCTTAAAATGTTTCTGAAGTATTGCTATAAAATCATCAAACGATATTGCATTTTGTATAAGATGTACATTAGAGTGGGTCGGTCTCTATGGACAAAAAAAAAGTTGTGTCAGTCACCCCCTAGGATTAAAGATATGTTAATAACATTTCCAAAAATATAAAAAATATTTTTTTGCCACGCCTAGAAATACCGCCCTTTTTGTTTTTTATATATTACGCCGCCATTTTAAGTCCGATCGTAACAAGTCATATATCAATATTTATGGCTTGACTGTAGCTATATTTCACTCTTAGAAAATTTGTTTATTCGACGTCATACTCTATGCGTGACTTCTGATATCTCGGATCCTTCCCCAAAATCTAAAATTGTGGCTATACTGGAATAAAGTACATTGAATTATATGAACTATTAGCTTTTAAAATGCTCACTTTTATGCAAAAACACCTATTTTATAGATTTAAAAATGTTCAAGTATTTAGCAACCGTTCTCACAACAAACAATTAATTTGCCAGGAAAAACAGTCGAAAAAAAAATTTTAATGAACTATATAAAACAGAAATCCTTTTAATTTTTTCAGTTATAAACCATTTCAGATCCAACTTCCTTTCAAAATAAAAGAAAGTTAACTACATATATCCTACAGCAATATAGTGGTTTAGCTATGTCCGTCCTACTGTCAGTCCATGTAAACCTCGTTGTCAAACTACAAATCGCAATTTTCCAGATAATTTGATGAAAATAGGCTCAAATATTTCATTTTACCAAAGGACGAAGTTGTTTGAAGATGGATTAAATCGGAGCCTTTAATTGTGGCTTGCCGTTATTTTCCTCTTAAACACTACCATTATCATAAAATTCTGCATATCTAACTCCTATATGAACATAAATCCCTCCACTAAATTTTGTTGGGATCGGTCTATAATTGATCCTAGCTCCCATATATAGGCTCTTTCAGAAAATCAGTTTTTCATCAATAAATTGCTTAAAAAGTAGTGGACAAATTTCTATATAAATGCTTTATTAAAAAAGAAATCACATTTTAGATAAGTATACTCATAACTGGTATGATTCC